ATATACACATGCACAAAAAGAGGTCTGTGAGGGGTAAATACCCAATGATTACAACTGGCAGAAGATGTTCACTCTTACTTTGCACGCTTCTCTACACTTGGCTCCATTACTTCCGTAACTTAAAAAAAAACCCTGCAACCTGACCTAGAGAGGTAGGTGTTATTTCTGTTGTTGTTTAGTTACCAAGCTGTGTCCAACTCTTTGAGACCCCACGGGCTGTAGCCCACCAGGCTCCTCTGTCCACAGGATTTCCCAGGCAAGAATATGGCAGTGGGTTGCCATATCCTTCTCCAGGGGATCTTCCTGACCCAGGGATTGAATCCATGAGTCCTGTATTGGCAGGCAGATTCTTTACCACTGAGCCAGTTACAGTTGGGGAAAAAGCTCCAACAGGAGGGCATGGCTGGCCTGGGGTGAAATGGTAGAGCTGTTTCCAGCGGAGCCCTTTCCTCCTCACTCCCCAGTGAGCTCTGGGCTAGGTGATTTGGGCAGAGGTCCTGTCCAGCAGAGGCTTCAGTAGCCAAAGGTTCTCTAAGCTGGGGTCTGGCAAGAGCTCTCTCCCCTTCCACGGTGCCAAGGCCCCGGGGAAGCAAAAGCCAGTAAAGTGTTGGTGCTAAAGTCTTAGAAAGGGTCAACTGTCCTCAGTCTACCAGAGTTCAAAGTCTGGGAGCCCTGCTCAGTTACTGCAAAACCCCAATGTTTATGCATTACCTACTGCCTCCCTGGCCTGGAGGTTGGACAGCAGAGCCTTAGGCTCCACTCCACCCTTCCCATGGAAGAGGTGGGTAACAGCTGGAGGTCTGTTGCGGTGGCCAGGCCTAGACACAGCCTCTCTGAGCCCAGAAGTCCAACCAGGAGCCTTCTCAGCCTCCACTATCCTGGGGATGCTGAGAGACTTTTTTACCTCTCTGCCCACGAGTGAGGTGGGAGAAGGGTGAGGTTGCAGGTCTCAAGCCAATGCTGCACAGTTTTCCTTTGTCCTAGGCCTCCCCAGCTCTGCCAGCTAGGGTGGGGTGGGTTGGGGGCTGGGGGAGAACTGGATAACTGTATCCTTGGAGTTGGAGCAGAGCTCTAGGCCCTGACATCCTGTGATCAGGAAGTGCTGGGTAAAGCTGAGCTTCTTGAAGTCACAAGCTGATTATGGGGGGATTTGGGGATGACCCAGCTCCAGGCCAGTTAGGGCTGGTCCTGAAACGGCTTAGCATGGGACAAGGATCATCATGGAGATGTTTACAATGTCTGCACACCCAAACTGGACGTGCAAAGGGTCCTTCCATTTAAAACAGCCACCACCCTGGTTTAGGGCACTGGACCAGTCTCACCACAAGCACCATGGGGAGTGAACCTCCATTTTATGGGGAAGAAAACCAAGGCTGAGGAGAGTCACTTCCCCAAGGTCATAGTTTTCTGAGGATGTCTTGTTTCCATTCACAGAAGGCTTTCAGTTGTCAAATTATATCTAACCCAACTATTAGACTGTACCCAGAAAGAGCTTGGAAAGTCCTGGAATCTGAGAATTCCTGCTCATTTGGGGTGAGCGGAGGGTGACACAGAAAAAAGGGGTGTAGAAGAGGAAGTATTAAAAAAAATAGCGAAGAACATCTCCAATTTTTGGACAGCTGTATCTTGGTTAAGCCTTCCTTCTCTGGCCTCAGTTACCATCTGTCAAACAAAGGGTTGGGCCATGCAGTGGAAGGTTTCTGCTGGGGACTTTCCTTTATCTTCTTGGGCCATCCCAGAAAGGCTGGCAGTGTGTTTTTTGGTGGGAGGCTAGTTTATGACCTTGGAAAAGTCATTTTCCATTGAACTGTGATATCATCATGACTTGGTATCACCCTCAGGTGAAGGCAGGGCAGCCCCATCAGCGGACCCATCTCGGGGCCTGGCACTCTCACCCATGTTCTGCTCTGCAAACCAGCTTCCTGACAAACCCCAAGTGGAGAAGAACTGGCCTGTTGGAACTTTAAGGAGTTGCCTGATCAAGTGATACAGCCCTGGTACACTGGGGCTCCCCAAAGACTCCCGTTGCCAGAATGCCAGACTTCCGGACAGAGGCTGCAACCTAGGTAACCCCAGGTCACCTAGGGCCCAGGTAAGTGCAATGCATCATGGGAGTCCAGAGAAGCAAGGGATATTTATGGAGCATCCATGGGGACAGACAGACACATGTATTTCTGAGTTCTTGCAGACACTCTAATGATGAAAATGACATCATTCTGCGGACGTGGTAACTGAGCTAAAGCTGGAATTCAAAACCACAAATGCAGGACTTCAAAAGCCTATGCTTTTTGTACCTCTGAAGGGCTGAGGAACCCCACAGATTTCTCATTTCTCCTTTGTATGGAGGGTGGAGTCAGCAGAGATCCTGGGCTGTCATTAGGGTGCCAGGAAGGACTAGTTGAGGGGTCTTCACAAAGGGCTGGGTGAGACATCTGGGGGCAGGGCTCACCCTTGTCTGCTGCCCTATAGGGAGTGTGAGCAAACTCCCGGCTGGAACAAGAGGGTCTTCAACTTGTCTCCTCCCTACTTTTCACTCAGGTAAACATCACAATGAGCCGCAGAGAAGTGCAGGGAAGTCAGATGAGTCAGTTCCCAGTTCCAAGGAGATGAGGAGGAACATAGCAAATCGAACTTCAGAATCAGACACCCCTGGTTTTAAGACCTTGGGCCAGTGATATAATCTCTCCAGGCCTCAGTTTAACCTCCTGCACAAAAGGACTGGGTGTGCTGATCGAGTCAGCAGATCCAAAGGGAAGGGCTTTTTTTCTAGAATGTATACAGGATGGTCTGTAGAAGCTTTAGCAAAAAAAATGAATTTTTTTTTTTTTTACTATAACTGCTATCTGTATTTGCCTTTTGAAATTTCTACTTTATGTACACATGTAATCAATTATTATAACTGTGCACGTATATGAATTTATGTGTGCATGCTCAATCACGTCGGACTCTTTGTGACCCCACAGTCTATAGCCCTCCAAGCTCCTCTGTCTATGGGATTTCCCAGGCAAGAATAAATGCAGACAAACCACTGGGAAGGAGGCACTCCAAATTTATTTATTGATGGAGCAGGTAATCAAGAGTTTGGAGGGTACTGCATGAAAAACACCCATCTGCTACAGCATTTAGAACTGGCTGGCACATAGGCAGCCCTGGAAGTCAGGCAAACTCTCTCCCCTCTATTCAAAATTCAAGAAAGGCTCATGGTGAAAAGGGACAGTGCAGACTGAAAGCCCTTTCTGATTAGCCTGGGTTCAAATCCAGTTCAGCCAATTACTAGATGTGTGACTTCAGGAAAGTTACTTCTCTGAGCTCCCTTCCTGAACCATATGGAGGGTCAGTGATATTGAAAAGCATTTGCGCCCAGAGCCTAGTAAACTATTAAGTGGCTGTTTTCTCTTCCACTTTTTTCTCTACTCAGAATACTGACTTATCCACTCAAGAAATAAACACCTATGTCCTGCATCATATGCGGAACAGATATTTCTTTCCCTTGAAGGAGTGAAAAAGTTATCCTTCTCTTACAGACAGTGAAACTGAAGCCCAGGGAGGTTAAGTGACCTGCTAGAGCCCTGAGCTAACACAGCAAGCAAGCATTTAAACTTTGCAGTGCTAAGTTCTTACCATTAGCTAAAAGAGCTTCTCATTTTATTTGTATTTTGTTATACCCCAGCATAACGGCTGTCGGGAAATGTGTTCTGGGCGCAGGGTCTCCCTTCGGCCAGGGTGGGCTGATGAAGCAAGTCGTCTGGATTCCTCAGGCACAAAGGAGCCTTTTCCCGCTGAGAGTACAGCCTGGCCACACTGTCACGCACCTCTCTGCTCAGCCAAAACCTTTCTCAGTTCCACTGGACACTTCCTTCGCCCATAGGAAGGGTAGTGCGCAATTCAGTACTAACACATACCAGGTGAAAAAACGTACACCCTCGCGCCTTCCCTGCCGAGTTTCAAAGAAAAAAAGTGACTCGACATATTCTATAGAAGGGGGAAGAAGGGAGGGAGGAAAGAAATAAAGCCCTACACAAAAGGTGGGGCCCAGTAAATACTTGTTGGAAAGGAGTCGTTCTGGGAAAGTCACAAAGATCCCCTGTAGGACAGGGGGGAAAAAAGAGATCGTATCGAGGCAGTTTGCTCCCGCGGGAAGAGTCCTCATCTATTCAGAGTCCCGCGTCCCGCAGCTCCCTGGCGCGCGCTCCTCCCACTCCACTCAAGCCCGGGGCCCCTTCCCGACCCCCTGCCCCCACCTCCGGGATCGCAGCGGCGGCCCCAGGGATATGCTCTCCACGCGGCCCTCATCAGCCCCGCCTGAACAGGGAAACGTGCCACTTCGGAGCACATCACCCCACTTAGCTAAAGCTCTGGGCCTGCCCTACACGGAAAGAAGGGCCTCGTACGCGGGGTTTTCGCCTCAGCCCTGCAGCCAGACATCCTGGGGTTGAAGCCGGGCCTTAACAGAGTGCCCTCCACCTAGGAGCCCCAGAGGGCTGGCGCGGGGACCTCGCGGGGCGGCGGAAAACGCCCAGCACAAGGCCGCGCGCCCAGTGTTGCGCCGGGGAAATGAGAGCAGCGGTTCCCAGCCTGCCGAGCGGGGGCGGGTCCCTCCTCCTCCGCGCGCAAGGGCCGGGGCCCGGCTGGGGGCTCGGCCGGCTCAGCCAATGGGTGCCGCGCTCGGACCCTCCCCCGCCCCTGGAGGAGCGGGCGCGGGGCCTCAGCCGGGGAGGATCGTGAGCGACGTGCCGCGCCCCGGCCCTGAGTCCCCGGGCCCCGCCGGGCCGCGTGGACCGCGCCGCTCCCCGGAAGGAAGCCAATTACTCAGTGCGGGCGCCACCTACGCACGCGGCGCCCTTGCGCCCGCCAGATCCCGAGCCCATCCCTGTCACTGTCTCCCGGCCCGGCAGTGCGTTGCGCTCCCGGCCGGGGGAGAGGCCCAGGCCGGCGGAGCGATCAGCTGGGGTCCGCGCCTTTGTTCCTGGCAGGGAGGGCCCGCGGGCGCGCGGACTCACCTTGCTGGTGGGCTCCATGGCCGCGCTGCGCCGGAGGCTGTCGCTGCACCGGGTGCGCGGGCGGGCTGCGCTCTGTGGATCCCGCTCCGGCTTCGGTCTCGAGACTCCGTCTGCTACTCGCTTGGCCTCCCTCTGCCTAGCGAGCTAGTTGCTGAGACCTGCGGCCCACTGTCCGAATTCTCGCTTTGGTTACCTTTGAGCACTCCGACTGTCGCCTTTATAGGACCCCAGCCATTGGCTAGCGAAGCTGGGGGGGCGGGGCGGATGGGGCGGGGCTCTGCGGGGAGGGGGCCGCGGTCAAGGTCCAGGCGAGTGAGGGGGGTGGGGAGGGAGCGCGCCCGCTGGGTACCTTGTTCTGGCTGCGGATCTTCACCTCTCCCTGAGTCCTGAGAATTCTCTGGCTGTGTGACTCTCTGCAAGTGTGCGCACCTCTCTGGGCTTCAGCGGCCAGTAGCAAAATGGAGGAGCTCGTACCGGCTGTGATTCAAAACGAGGAGCCGCACACGGTCGCGCGTGAGAGTGAGGACTGGAGTCCTCACTCCGCCAAGGGATAACTTCGGGAAACTAGCTGTAATGATTATACCACCTCATAGGTTTGTTATGAAGATTAAGTGAGTTAATATTTGAAAAGTGTTTAGAGCAGCCTCTGTTTTGTGGTAAGTGGTATTTAAGTGTTTGTTAGACTACAAGAGGTTTTGCTCCGTGATTTTCTCCCTTCTCCTCTCCAGCCCCACATTCCTGTTTGTAAACCAAGTCTGCCTTTAGCACAGGCTGGGCCCTCTGCCTGAAAATCTATGCCCACCTCTTCTTAGGACTTTAATATCACCTCCTCTGTGAAGCTTTTCTCTACTCCTGAGAGTACCTGTGACTCTATGGTGACAGGTAAGTGTGAAAAATATGAATGGTAAGAACATAAGAGAACTTGGGTTTGAACCGCTCCGCTGTAGACCAGCCCTGGTATGATCCTAGGCAAGGTGCTAGCCGATGAGGCTCTGCTTTCTTCTGGTTAACCGGGAATGACCACCACCACCAACTTCGGGTGCTTCATGAGAGATGAAGTACCCATGAAGATCAGCCCATGAAGTACTTAGCACATGTTGACTTGCATGTAAGGCCCCCTTTAGTGGTAATGATATTTTTTCACCGTATTTCATTTGATTTCACCTTATTTCTTCTTCTGGACTCATGTCTTACTTGAGACACAGTGAAGGGAAAGACCCCTAGTCCAAAGGTCTGGACAAAGGTCTGGACAAAATCCTGAGGTTAACATGAGGGTCCCTTTCTCTATGGAAGGGGTCAGGAGGGGCTATTTTCTGTTGGAAAGGAGGAGCCTGGGCATGACCCCTGGAGTCCTCTGTCTGGGCTATGGGTCCACTGCTGGCCAAGGGATCGGGGTTCCCTGGCTGGGCAAGAAGCCCTGGCAGGGAAGGCAACCCCCTTTTCGGTGCATCTCTGCCCATGGCTCCTATTTCTAAGGTCTCCCAGTTGTGCAGCCCGGAAAGCTTGGGGCCACCTCTCTGCATCTGGTGCCCAAGCCCCTAAGTCCTGTCGATTTCACCTTTCTGTCCCACCTCATCCTCCTTCTCTTCTGCTGTCTGCGGGGCCTCCGGCACCTCTGGCCCTCGTCCTCTAGTGCTGACCCTCATTGTTCTGTTTGTATGTCCCCTGTCGCCATAGAGGCAGCAAGGTCCAGCCTGGCTAGCAAGACCTTCAGGGCATTAGTTCACAGGCTTAGCCTCACCCCTCACACTTGCACTTGCCACATCTGTACCTTTGCTCAGATTGTTTCCTCTGCCTGACTCCCTTCACCCCTACCTCATCAGGCCGAAGTGCTTCTGATGGCACAAAGTACCTCTAGAATGGGGCCCCTTCCAGGAGGCGTGCCGAGTCCTCCACGAGGGGCTTGTTCTCCCTTTTACCTTTTGGTGTTTCTTAGTGTGTTGCTGCGCTTTCTCTCTTCTTCCAGACTGAGCACCTTGAGGACGGCTTCTATAGCTGAGACACAGAGGTGAAGGAAGAAGGCAGAAATGAATGAAAACATGAGCAGCTAGTCTGCCTGTTTCTTGCCAACACAAGTGTTCCTTGAAGTACCTTTTGGGTTTTGCCACTTCCCTGCTCCAAGTCTCTCCATTGATCCCTACTGCCGAATACATTCAGTCTACTGTGTATACCTCTTCCCAGCTGTGGCTATGCCCCACCTAGCTCACGGGGGTACCCTCACTATCAGACTCTCTTTCCTTCTCCAGGCCAGCCCTGTCTGTGCTGGCTGCTTCCCCAGGGACAGAGGCAACCAAGACTGTTGCTAACCTTATGGATTCCCCAGACTGGAGAGAATGAAGAGGGGAGGTGCACAGCAACAATACTGAGTTGGGTATGCATGGTTAAGAATGTGTGTTGGAGAAGATCTTGTACCACAAAGGAAGGAGAGGGAGTAGAGAGAGCTTCAGGATAGGGAGAAGGCAGGCTGAGCAGGGTTTAGCAGGCTAAATTTGAGTTCAGCAGGTGGGTCAGAGGGAAGGCCATTTTGGGCAAGGGGAAGATCACCTGCAAAGACAGGAGACAGACAGAGAGTAACTGCTGAAGGGAAGAAAGAATCTCGACCACACACCTGGTGGTGGAGCCCTGGATTTGGTTTCCTGAGTCCCAGTTCTGCTGTTTACCTGCCAAACATCACTGAACAGATAAATCCCTTCTCTCTTCTGAGCCTCAAGACCTACATCTGTAAAATGGGTGTAACAATCCCCTCCTGAGTTGGCCAGAGGAAAAACGGATTATGTACAAAAGTTTATCCAAATAACTTATGACTTCCCTGTAGCTCAAACGGTAGAGAATCTGCCTGTGAGGCAGGCGACCAGGGTTCTATCCCTGGGTTGGGAAGTTCTTCTGGAGAAGAAATGGCAATCCCCTTCAGTATTCTTGCCTGGAGAATTCCATGGAGAGAGAAGCCTGGCAGGCTACAGTTCATGGGGTCACAAAGAGTTGGACATGACTGAGTGACTAACACACACACACACACACAATTTGTGATGTCAGAAATTCAATCAAACTGCCTTGCTATGGTCAGGGTGGAACTTGAAGACAGAGCAGAGTAGCTAGAAAAACAGCTTTGCCTTCACCCTCCCCCATCATACTTGCCCCAATAGACCCCTATCATTTGCTTGAAATTCCATTTCTAAATGTTCTCATTGTAAAAGCTTTATGATCCCTAGAAGGTACTGTGTAGAGGTAAACTCATCAGGCGCTGTTGACACCGGCCAGATATTAGATTCGCAGGTAGACTAGTTTAGTTTTTGGATGGCTGAGTCCTCCGCGACCAGATTTAACTCCAGCCAGGGAGGGAACATCAGAGAAAGCTTAAGGAAGTGAGCCTGGAAGGTTGGGATGCCTGGGGAGAGAGAGCAGATGCCATGGAGGTGCAGCTTAGGGCAGAGGGAGCCAGGCTCAGTAGCCCCTGCGGCGGGAATGCAAAGGGTTGGGAGCAAGAAGGGGATGAAGTTCTCGGAATCTGAGTGGGAGAAGCAGCTGAAGAGGCGGGGTGAAATGCTAGGTATAGGAGTTAGGACTTTATTCAGTGGGCAGTGGGGAGCCATCGAGGGTTTTTGAGCAGGGAAGGACTGGAGGAAGTCTCAGCCCTTTGTCAAGCCTACCGCACTCCTAAGATTTAAAGGGGAGTGTAAGGAGGCGGTGAAGCCCTAGGGCTCCGCTTGGAAGGACCAAGTAACCCCTCCCCAAGCTTCGCTCACACTGGCAGCTTTGTTCGCAGGAGGCTGCATTTAGCTCTGGAAGGAACTCGAACTTTTGGATTCAGGCTGTTCTAGTCCTAGCCAGTTGGAGGAAAAAAGCTCCCTGGGACTGGCTGGGCGGCCTGGTGCGTGCCTGTGAGCACGCTAACACGCTCCAGGTCCCCAGCCGCGCTGGCCGCTGTGCGGGGGCGGTCTTAGCAACTCCGGAGTCACAAGTGAGTAAGGCTGCCTGGGGAAAGACGCTGGTTTTTTTTTTTTTTTTTTTTTCGCCTTTAAAGGCAAGCGTCCTTGGCAGCCAGGAGAAAAGCCTTTGCTGAGTCAGCTGCCGCTGACGCAAGTGGGGCTGACAGGGGCTGGGACGGACGGGAGAGCCCCCAATCCACGGGACGTCCTGCAACCCCGATCCTCCCAGGCTGCAGGTAAACACGGTGTTGGACTCCTGGAAGGCCTGATGCGCCCGGCAGGACAGTCTGGTGTGTTTACCATTTTCATTCTGACTTGCGCACCTGTTCACACCGCCTGCTCACAGAGCACTTTTCAGCTTCCTCTTCTTTATCCTTTCACGTGCCTCTCCCCGGCCCTCTGCTCTCAGCAGGGCCACCACCTGCTCTCAACGCTGGGGGATATTGAGGGAACCCTTCCTCCTTGTCTCCCGCACCAGGCTTGTCTGTCCAGGTGCCTCCAAGACAGCCCTTTGAGTGCCCCCCAGGTCCCTAGCCACAGGTAACTAGCCTTCACCATGATTAAGTCTAAAATCATCACCCTCTCCCATCTCTCCTTGTCCCCACTGCAGAGACGTTTCCTCTATCCACCAGATAGCCCAAGCCAGAGATCTGACATCTTCCTGGACACTTCTTTCTCCCTCCTCCTCAACCCAGTCAATCGTGTAGACTCTGCCCTTCCAAAACAGGCACTGGACTCCATCCCCTTCTTTCATCCCACTGGCCTGGCTATACTGCTGGTTCGTCCTCCCACCTGCCACCTCCCTAGTCTCTCAAACACTCAGCCAGCACATCATCATTTCCCTTTTTAAACATCTTTCCCTGGCATGCAAGAATGTGGCTACAGCTCACAGACGTGAAAGAAGCCAAATGCAAAGGAGTGCGATTTCGTGTATGCAAAGTTCAAAAACAGGCAAAACTTATCTATGGATTAGAAGTCTGGATAATAGTTACCTTGGAGGGATGGTAGTGACCATGAGCGGGGCTGGTGATCAGGGCTGGGGCTGTGGTGAGGCAGATGAGGTAGGATCGGCCTTACAGATATTACCCTTTGCCCTAAGCTTTCATGTGACTCATCATGGCGTTGTTACTAATCCTGTCTTTACCTAACATTTTGATATTCTGTCATCATGAATTTTTTTTGCATTAGTTTTGATTTTTAAAAAATATTGCATTAAAACGTTATTTATCTTGATGACTGAGCTTTTTGGCACCCCCTTACATTTTACTCAGGA